TGAGGAGAAAACAGAATTGATTAGTTTGGGGGGGTGGTGTTGGTTTGCTTAGCTTCCTTCTCCCCCCTCTGCCCCCAACCCCTGCAAGCAAAAATCACTCCACTGTGCAGGGAAGATAAATAGGAAGGGGAAGAAACCAAAAGCAGGCAGGAACAGCGGTTTGGAGGTTACGGCAGTACAGAAGCCCAGGCATTTGGCTTGGGCTTAGGCAGGGGTAGGGACGGGGAGGGGAGGGATGGTGGTGGACATGAAGGACCAGATTTAAGAGATATCGACCTGCCTTTGGTGCTTTTTAGAATGAGAAGAGAAGGATAGGGACAGAGAGATGAAAAGCTAAGCAACTAGGACTATGTTTTCCCCTAGTCAGTGCGTGGATGATGATGTCATTAAGTGAAATAAAAACTAAAATGCAGGTGGAGGAGGGAGATTCAAAGGGAAGATTTAAAAATAAACTTGGCGTTTATTTGCAGAATGTCCCGTTCAGTGTGGTGCTGGTAAATGTCAACAACTGGCTTTCTGAAAAAGGAAAAGTAAAGGAAGCCCTGATTGTGTCCATTTCCAATGGGGTAAAGAGTCCCACCACTGTCCGATTTTAAAGTAGCACAGGGGGAGGCACTTACTGCTGAGATGGGAAGAGATATACACATTCAGGTCTTCTGAGCTGGGCCGAGCCAGACTCTAGCACACTGCTGGTCCTGCTGGGTCCTCTGTGTGCATCCAGGAGTTCAGCAGGAGCTGAGAGCTGGTGATGCAGGGTTTCAGTGGGACCATGGGCGTGCAGCACGTAGAAATAAAAAGGAAACCAGTGTCGGGGGGGGGGGGGACATATGTATATAAGGAAAGAGGAGTCAGGAAAAGAGCATTCACAGAGAGACAGGAGAGGCGGGAGCCAGATTCCGGCAACAGGCGAACTAGTTTCAGGAAGGAAGGTGTGGTCAAGAGTGTCAGATACCAGAGATCAGGTGGCCTAGGCACTTAAAGGAGGTCATCAGAGTACCAATTAAGCAGGTTTTTTTTTTTTTGTAATGATAAAAAAATGCACTTGGACTCTTTTTAAGGAGGTCACTAATGAATTTGGACAGACCAGACTCAGTGGTGGGGACAAGAGTTTGCCTGAAATGGGCTGGAGAGGGAATGAATGGAGGGAGTAGAGATGAAGTCTTTCCAGCAGTTTGGCTCTTAAGGGAAGAAAGACGTGCAGGGAGGCAGGTTGGTAGGATGGCTTTAAAAAAAGAGTTATAACTCACTGATAGTAGTTCAGGGGACTCTATCAAAAATTCATCTATAGTCCAGACTAATTGTTGATCCCAATGACAAGCAGAACAAACATCTTACTCAAGTCCAGAAGCAGTAATGGTTTTGAATCTTGCTTAGATGTCAAAATGGGAGTCACAGCAATACAGAAGGGGTTGCATTGGTCCAATTAAATTGAGTTTGTAGGTATTAAGAGCCTATGTGATACATGGTTTACTCCACAAGTAATGGTGATTCCTCATTGTTTAAACTTTGAACATCAATTGCTTGATGATACATTTATGTGTCTAACCATGTATTGGAGTTAAACTGACTCAAATATGGACTGTAGGTGCTTTTACTAGTATTCTGCCTTATATGAAAGAAGGATTAACTATTATTTTTTATTTTATTTTGAGGCACCTCTCATTCTCTAGGAATGCTCAAAAAATCCTGCAATTAACTCTTTTTAATTGTAACAGATTCAACTTGACGTTGTTTTTTAGAACACTTACTTCTTTATTCTTCATTGACTTCCTGTAATGCTCTATTCTTTGTAGAGTTTCAGGAACCAAACAGAATACATACCAATCAAAATTACATGTTGTGGTGAACAGCATTTATATTTTAAACAAGGTGTATATGTACATTTATGTAGACAAGTTAACAGATATTATATATCAAAGCAATCTCCAAGAAAGCCTTAGGTAATCCCTGATTTAAAGGTCTCAATGGCATGATAAATCGTGCTTCTCTGTAGCTCCATGACTTCTAACAAGGTCTTCAAGGTCACAGCTGCCTGAAGGGCCATTCTGTGATTAGAAAATGCCAGGGTCATCTCTGAACAGAACCCCACCCACCTGGGCTACATTTACAGAATCAGCTTCTCCAGAGCAACAAACAGCAACAAAGAAGGGTCTTCTTATTTGGAAAGGGTCATGTGGGGTGGAGACTTGGAGTTTTGGTGTTGGTGTTTGCAGGAATCTAAAGAGCTGGAGGAAAGTTCATGAAAGCATACTCAGGAACAAATCAACCTATGACATTCAAGGGAGAGAATTCACACTTGGAAACTTTCTCCAGGGACACATTCTCTTAGGCTCTAACGTTTGGAAGTCAGTATTTTTGTCATATGAATCTGTCACACTTGCGAAGTATGGGCTGATGTCATCAGACTTATGTCCCTGTACCACCTGGCCAAATCATGTAGCCTCATGGGGAGCTTGGGCTCTTTTATTGGTAGAAATCAATGAGATTCATAAGTAGGTTTCAAACAATACAGTGTGTGCATATACGCAACGAAGAGGTGACATTGCAGATTGTTCTTAGTTAAAAATGATCAAGTTTGGCTTTGAGACCATTGACTTACGTGTTTAGAGTCAATGGCTGTCCTCTCTCTGGGGCTTTCATCTTCCTCTTGGGCTCACCTTCTTTCTCTGGCATCCTGTCTTTGTGTGATTTGTACAGGATTACTGTTGCTCAATCCCCGGTAGAGCAATCTAAGGGATTACTCTTAGTGGGGGTGTTCTTGGGAACCATAGCCTTCAAAATTCCAAAAGGAATAATTTGGTGATGGAATTTTATGCGCTGTGATCAGTGAGTGGGCACGGTATAGGGAATGGAGAATCAGGGAGACCTAGTCACTCTCCCCAAAACACACTTGAAATGGTAACACCTCCTCCAGGAGCTTTTCTTTATATCTAGAGGGTTAGAGAGATTGCTTCTTTTTTTTCTTTTTTAAATTTTTATTTCAGAGAGGAAGGGAGAGGGAGAGATAGAAACATCAATGATGAGAGAGAATCATTGATCAGCTGCCTCCTGCACGCCCCCCATGGGGGATCCAGTCTGAAACCCAGGCATGTGCCAGATCTGGAATCGAACTGAACCGTGACCTTCTGGTTCATATGTCAATGCTCAACTATTTAGCCACTGTGGCTTAGCCAGAGAGATCTCTTAACTTTTGCTAGACCTGGAGTTTTATGAGTTTGGCATGGGAAAACTTTATAGGCCAGGGCTGGTACCTGAAAATGACATTAATAGTCACCTAATAACATCCTCTTTGTTTAAAATACCATTCTTTCAAGGAGCTTGAATGAACAAAATTCATTTTCAGAAAACCCCGGTGAGGCAGGGAGAGAATACATATTTTCTCCATTTTACAGGTGAAGAAATGGAGGCAGAAAGCTGTGGATCATGTGGTTCGGTCAAATGTGACCCCAGAACCTAATCCTCTTAGTCGGGATTGTCCTTTCACCCAGGCAAGAGGGACCTCTCTCCTGCACCCTGAGCTTCGGAAGGCTGGGCTCTGGTCCTTCACAAACTCCATCCCTTCCTAAGTGTCAGCAGCCCACAGCACCATGGGGCCATGACGCCAGAGTTTTGGAACCCCACATTTCCTTGACCTTCAGGTCCCAAAGTGCACTTTCCAGGGTCTGCATGGGCCTCCTCACAGGTGCATGCACCTGAGCTCAAGTTGTGGCCTGACTGACTGTATGCAGGGAGGAAGCTTGTGCAGCGGGGGGTCCACATGCATATACTGGAGGCTCTTCTGGAATATGATGGAGCTGGAAGAGGGAAGAGAAGGGGTCTGGGGCAGGCTCTCGCATTCCACGTTCCTGCCAAAACTCAGATCAAACTGTGAGGAGTCTGAATGTGAACCTGCCCTTCCAGGTTGCTTCTAAGGTTTGATTTATGACTTAAATATTTAGACATAAGTATGTGGGCCTCCACTTGAAATCTTGCCTCTGCCCCTCAAATGTTACGGGCGGTGACGTTGCTCTTGACTGTTAAAAGCCAAAGTTAGAGGAAGAAGTTGGAGATCTGGGATGGTTATATAATTTTACACCAATGGGAGTCTCTAGCTGCACTTTGCAAATCTGTAGAAGCCAAAATACAAGCCTTGTGTATTTATCTCTGGGAGCAGAGCAATACGTTGGAAATAAAAAGGGGCTGGTCCCATGGTTCTGTCGTGTGGGCTTCCTTCCTCCCCCAGTTTAGCAAGACCCTTTCCATTGGCTTTTCCTGTGACCTGGCAGGCCCAGGCTGGGAATCCCAAAGGCAATAGGTTGCCTAATTGAATAGCAAAGTCAGGGTTTATGGTAGAAAAAATAAAATAGTCAATTCCAGAGGACTGTCCATCTTCCCCCTCACCCTAAGCATTTGAAAGGAAAGAAAGACTAGCAGTGGTTCTCAACCTTCTGGCCCTTTAATACAGTTCCTCATGTTGTGACCCAACCATAAAATTATTTTCGTTGCTACTTCATAACTGTAATATTGCTACTGTCATGAATCGTAATGTAAATATCTGATATGCAGGATGGTCTGAGGCGACCCCTGTGAAAGGGTCGTTCGACCGCCAAAGGGGTCGCGACCCACAGGTTGAGAACCGCTGGACTAAAGGGTTGTTGTCGGGCGGCTTTTCAGCCTCGCGTTCCCAATCGCCCAGTAAAGTAAGGGGAAGAAAGCAGTGCAGAGAAGCCATGTCCTCTGGGAAGGAGAGAGACAGTCTCCCGAGCAGTCCCAGGCCCCGCATTTCCGACTTGCCCTCGGCTGCCAGGCTCTGGCTGGGTCCGGGGGCGCAGACCGAGGACCCGGCGATGCCCGCAGCACCTCCCGTCTCCCACTTTTCGCCCGCATCCTTGCGGGGAGCTGCGGGACATCGCCCGTTTAAGGGGCGGGGCGCGGCTCCACGTGCTTTCTGCTGAGTGACTGAGCTACAAAAACAGAGGCCGGGGAAGAGGGCGGGGAGGGAGGGAGAGAACAGGCTTTGACCGATAGTAACCTCTGTGCTCAGCGCAGCCGAATCTATAAAAGGAACTAGTCGCGGCACAAGCCGGGTAATTCCGAGGGAGACAGAGTGGGGCCGGGACCGCCGAGCCGAGCCGAGCCGACACATCTTCCCCCGGGCGCGGGTGGGCAAGGCAGGGGTCGCCGCAGCACTAGGGCCACCAGAGCCCATTTCTCGGGGCGCTCTGCTCCTGCTCTCCCCCTTCTCCAGAAGGGTTTTTCAGGGAGTGGGGAAAAGAGACGAAGACACAAAAGTGGAAAACAGGTAAGAGGCTCTGCAGTGACTTAGGCGTTATTGTTTGGTTTCGGGGCTGAGGAGGCTTTGGGATGCGCTGGGATTCGGGGACTTTAGTCCGGACCCCCACACCCTCCACCTCTTGCATTGAAATGGTGCGGGGGGTACCGTAAATGTGGGGATGTCGTTCTAGGACGAGCTCTGGCGACCCGAAGACGCTGCGCTGCTGCTCTCCGGGCTCGCCCTGTGGTGAGCCCGGGGAGCATCTCTGGGCTTGGAGACCCGGGCGCAGTACCTCGGGGGCAGTGGGTTGGGGGGCTTCTGGTCCTGCTGGGGGCCCTGCTGCCGGAGTGGGGACAGTGACGGGTCCTGCACCGAGCGCCTCCCTTTGTTTGGAAGTGCCCGGGCCGGCTAGAAACGCCTCTGGGTGCGGGTCGGCGGGCGCCCACCAGGATGAATGCCTACACTTGGTCCCCAGTCTGTGCTTTAAGAAGCTGGTCTGAATTGGGCTCTGACCCGGGGGTCCGCCCCGTGCGCCCTCAGACTGGATGGCGCGTTCTTGTTCCCTAAGAACCTGCCCGGGAGGCGTCCCAAACGGGGTCTGTGGTGATACTGCTCACTTGTTTGACTTGGGGGTCCTGCTCACAGTCTCCGTGCGCTCACCAGAGCTGGTGTCCCTGGCGCAGCGGGACGAGCTTTATTATTTTAAAAAACAGAAGATTTAGAAGGAGAGCCTGCACAAACCTAGAGCTGGGGTGCCCATTGCACTGCGCCCCCCGCCCCCGCAGTCTTCCTGCCCTTTGCTGCTAGTCTCTTGGGGCAGCCTAAGACCGGGCATGGATGGAGAAGCTGGGGCGAGATGGTGCAGAGGAATGACCGAGAGTAACCCCGGCGGGCGGTGCAGAACTGGGAGCTGCGCGCCTGGGCTGGGCTG